GCCTGCCTGCCTGCCTGCCGCCTTCCTTCGTCGCGGGGGAAGGAGGGTGCGGGCCGCGGTTGGAGGAGCTCCGTCAAGGCGGCGGCTGGGAGCCCGCGCGCCGCATCGCGGTTGCCCGGGCTCGGTGAGGTGACTGGCCCCTGCCCTCGGGGTGCGCAGAGGAGGCGCGCCGTTCCCACCGCGGTCGGGGTCGAAGGCAGAGTGTTTTGGCGCGTCGCGGTGTAAGTGTGACTCTTCGAAACCAGGCGCTTCGGACCTTTCCGCCTTTGACCTGCGGGGGCTCTTCCTCTGGGGTCCCTCTCGCCCCCTCGGGCATCGGCAGCGGGCATGGGGCTTTAGCTCCGTGCAAGCCTCGCGGGGTGGAGCAAGGATCCATCCGCTTGTTCTGCTCTTCTCCTTTGGTGAAGATGAGCGTGGCAGGAAACCCCATTCATCGCCGGCCTGGGTACTGGCAAGGTCCAAATAAAAGAGCTGCTCCCGCTCCATCTTCTCCCTAAAGGCGCTTGCTGCTTTCTGGGGTTGGCCCCATTCCTTGAGTCACCTAGAAATGCCTTCCTGAACAATTTTCACGGTGATTTTCCTGCTCTCTTTAAACGTCCTCAGAAAACCCACCCGTCCGGTGAAACTGTTGCCACCACTGTTTTTATTACCATAATCTTCCCAAGCTGGTGCTCCAAATATCTTGGACTGGAGTTCCCCTTTCCACCCACCAGGATTTGAGGAATGATACTCCCTTGGGTCTCTATGTGTGCTTTTGTGTACTCAGGCCTCCATTGTCCCCTTTGTTGTCTTTGGGAACTTGGCCTTAGTTTATGGAAACCTTTCTCCTTCCTCCCTCCACTTCTGCAGTGCTAACTTTTGAATGGTTCATTGCTGATTTACTCCCACAGTCATTGTGCATTATGTCCTGTGCCGTAATCTGAATTTACATTTTAGAATTTGTCACAGGGAAAAAAGTAAGCAGGGTGTGAGATAAGGTGAACAGAGAAATATAAGATTATTTCAAGCTACATGTGCCTAGATTGGGTTAGGTATGTTATGTTATGTTAGAAGGTGGGAACTATGAGAATATAGCAAAGGCTTCAGAAGAACTCGAGAAGTCAGAAGCATGACATTTAAATTTGGAGATAGTTCTAGACATGAGGAACATTGAGGAAGAAAGGACATAGCTTCTGTTTACCTAGTAATACCATCTTGGAGATTAAATTAGAATTTTTAGCAATGAGAGAAAAGCCATCTGCAGCCCGGTTCAGAATATGCCTGGTGTAGTTGGTTCGGTCTGTGAAGTAAGCATTTTGGTATGTGGCACATGATTTTGGGGTGAATCCCTCTAATTCACTGTATGGTTTATTAAGTAAACCACAGTATTGATTCCCCAGTTTTGGCTCTAGCACTGGAAAAAAGTAACAGGCCTCTTTCTTTAAAGAAGAAAGGCAGTATATGAACCAGTGTATGACCTAAAAAGGGTAGCAAGGTATGTCAGTGTTCATTAGATTGAACACTGTTTTCTTCTTTCTTGTCTCACAGCTCTAATCACTTTCACTTACTATTTTTTACTCCTTTTCTACATTTTGCATAACACTGAAAGGGCATAAAGCAGTGTTTCTCAATCTTAGCAACTTTAAGATGTGTGGACTTCAACTCCCAGAATTCCCC